TTCCCGTGTATCAATTATGACATAATAATGACGTCATGCAAGCAACCTTCATTCTAAAACTGATGTGAATGAAACTTAAAACAATGTTGCACTTGCGGAAAAGCAACAAAACCGCTCAGCATAAAATCGACATTAAATCTACAGTTGTAGTGCGTAGATTCGCGGTCGTGTACAATGTTTTTGTTATCTGGTTCTCATCTTCCTCTCACCCATTGGTGAAAGTGGCCCGAATTTCTCAGGGATCTGCAATTACCAACTCACAAAAAAAGCTTCTGCCTTGCCCATAAAATGACATGATGAACTCCCCAAAGCACAGATTTCCTGCAAATAATTCCATAACGATTTATTTTTGCGTCCTTGGTTCTTCACAAATGACTGTCTTACTTCCCATAGTTCATCTGTTGTACTGAAAATTATTAAATGTCAATGTCCAGTGTGCAAGAAAACGGCTTTCACCACCCCATTCCCTTCCACTCTTTATCACTCGTAAAATGTCTACTTCTGTGCCTAGGAAAAATGTATATGCACCCTCAACACGAGATTCCACTTCTTCGCGGCGCAACACACAAACAAATAGCTTCACCTAGCCGTCAAATGTTAGTTCGCTAGAATTTAATTCACACTTTACTTCGCAGATTCTTCTTATAGACTTGAGCTCGCTTGATTTTACGTTCTTGCGTGGTGTTACTGTGCGACCGCTTACCTTATCCCGACCGCACAACTGGTCGTAAGCGATTGAATTCGTGTCAATGCTAGTGGTATGTCAGATAGACACATGTTCATGACAGGTTTTCTCGGTGTTATCCTGCCCAAAGCTTTGAAATTTAAATCTCCATTATTTGATTGATTAGTGATTCTGGGTGCTTTGACTGCTAAGCCCATTAGTTCCCCGCACTATTAGGGCGTATTTTGTTCCTTGGAAGTTAGTGGGGATCTTTTCTCACCGGATGGTGAGATCCAGCGCTGATCTAAAATCGGCTAGCAGGTAACCAGGTATCTCCCATCAGTGGGCACTGCCCCAGCTGGGAAAAGATTTAAGGTCCCGACGAGTCTCCCGGCATGTGGTAATGCGCTCGCAAGAAAGTGCAAGAACGTGTCTAAGAAATGGGTAAGGATAGGGGAAAAAAAGAGGAAGGAGTGATTGCGAGCGGTCTATGGCCCCTCTGTTGGGGGTGCTGCTCCGGAATTTGCCTGTTATTGCTCGTATACCACCAGGGAAAACTACCGATCAGAGCATCCGGCCGCTAGAATTCTCCTCCAGGCAGCGATTGAATTCGACTCAGCTATTAAGCTAGTGTCGAAAATCCTGCCTTGGGACTCAAATTCAGGAACTCCCGACCTAAGACATTGCAGTGACATCATTTGATGTTCATAGCCACATATCTTGAATTTCGTAATCCGCAATACCATCATCAGCAGTAATTAAGCAAGTCTCAATGTTTTGCACTTTCTTGGCAATTACCGATTTTCCCATACTTCAACGTTTGCCGGCTTACACCTTGCGAACACTGATGACTACGGGACATGACCTCCATCCCGTCTGACATGCGGCAATATTATTGTGTAATTTGTATCTTGTATTTTGATAAATAAATAGAGATATTGTCAGGTATCAATATTTTAATTCCACTAATGATCATTTCGATCGCGTAGCGATCATCCTCAGAGCTTGCAGCTTCTGGGCCGAAAACAAAGTTCTGCCAAAGTTTCGGCCCAGAAGCTGCAAGCTCTGAGGATGATCGCTACGCGATCGAAATGATCATTAGTGGAATTAAAATATTGATACCTGACAATATCTCTATTTATTTATCAAAATAAAAAAGGTATCTACTTCACCAACAATCCAATTAATTGTATCTTGTATATTACCGATATTTATCTCGTGTTCCTCACATCATATTAAAAGGAGTTATAATTTAATTTCATTATAATTATAATTACTATAAATATTATAAATCAATTTACATTATTTTCACACTTACATTTATATTACATTCCCATTATGAATATGCATTTTTGTATGTCAAAGTGTTACTGTAGTTACAATACAAATATTTGAATTTAACTTCTATTCTGAAACTCCATTCTGAAAATTGGTTGTTGTGAGAATAATGCGGTCATGTTGCACATTCGATTAGTGACTCGATATTCGATTAAAGTGATAGTGCTTCAAAAGAACCGACTTTCTTGCATTATTTGTAACACTTATGAAATACTAGCAAACCGATGCGAAACGTTGAAACATTTGAACTACTGTACGTTTCCAGGGCCAGCAAAGGATTACTTCTCTTTGGAATCTCTCGTGGGTGACTCATAGAACCCACATGTAACTCTGCGAGTATTCCCAATTCGTAATTGTAGTTGCTGGTGCTGATATTTGAAGCCGAGAACATGTCCGCGGCCAGCACGATAACCACACCGCGTGTCGTTCAACTAGATGTAGTCACCTACTAGATGTAGTCATAAAACACACATCTTTAATTTGTGAAAATTCAGAAAGTTGGCTGAGGTAGAGAACACGCTTAAACCGCACTTCGCTCCGCTCAGGCGAGGAAGAAAACAACGATAGAGGTCGAGGGAAATTTCGAGGGGGATCTTTTGGAGAGCAGGGATAGTGAGCTGTGAACATATGATACATAATTATAATAAGGAAGGCGTAGGAGTTCTAAATAATTTATTAAATTAAACTATTAAAATAAATTCAATTCTTTGTCATTTCACATCCTAATACTTGGTGCGCTATTACTACGCTGACCGTTGAATCGAAAGTTATTTAGTGGTAATTCTGCAATTTGGAGTAACTGCAGGGTAGCTGTCAAAGTGATTAGCTAAGTTTTGGTCGAACAGTCTCGTTTCATGCGCTTTTCTAATTGTATTTATATTTTGGATCGTCGTGTATGTTCCACGACGGTGATAATAAATGTGTTTTTTTATGCGTGGTACCGAAAGGGTTGTTTGGCTGTGATTAAGAGGATTCAGAACTATTGATAGATTGCGACATGGTGTCCTATGAGGCTGGTCGAGTAGAAAGGGTTGTTTTATAACTCCGAGTGAAAGTGTAGTAAGAAAAAAGCCATTAATTTGCGTAAGTGTTCTGTGCGAAAGGGGGCATGATTCGCTAGAAGCAAACGAAATATAAAAGGTTCTTGAATTCCTCGCGGGCGTCACCGGGTATTCCACACGGGCGTCAGTGTATGAAACCTGAATAAATGGCACTTTCAAAAGTATTTATATATTTATATATTTATATATTTATATATTTATATATTTATATATTTATATATTTATATATTCAGAGAATTTGCAAGGCTTTGAGACAGACCATATTGATCATATTTGGAAAAATCCTACATACAGTTCAGGAAGTAGTGTTGATCATAAGTGAACGGAGAGATATATGTTTTGTACAAAGAAAAACATTTTATGGCTTCAGGAACCCAAAAACCGCATATTTTCATCAAAATCTCAACATCGTGTTTTGCAGAATTGCATAACTTTTAGGTGCTATGCCACCTTAGCTTGGAGCTTCTGGCGGCTACATTCAACATACAATTTTTGTGCTACACAATATTTCGATAAAATGATATTTAAAACTTAATACCGTTTCGTTACTTGCCCATTCATGGGAATAGAATATTACATTAACCAGTATCCATAAAATACATTTTTAAAAGTAATTTATCCCTACAAAATTAGGTTACGTTATGCCAGAGAGAATTAAATCTCGTCGAGAAGAATTGAACGAGCTATAGGATCGCTATATTGTATATTTTCCAGACAATTCCTAATATAACTATAATATTTCAGATTATTCTCGAAATCCAATTCATTAAACTATTTGTAGAAGCGCTCAGTTTTATGATTTCAAATAATGTCTAATTCTGCACTTGCTTATTAGTGTTCATAATTTCTAGGTAAAGTTAGTGAACAAAAGCGAACAACGTAATCCTCATTATTTTCTGTTTCTGTTGGATAATGTTTCTCGCACGATACACATGGACGTGTTTTTTTTATAAATAAAACACATTTATACTTGATTTACACCAGCTCTTGATGTCTGTGATGAATGTATGAGTGTATGTATGTTTACATATGTACGAGTGTATGTAAGAATTGCATATTATAAATATATTTTTTTAAACAAAATTCTTGTACCGTGCTTCTTGAGAATGAAAGTCGAAGCAGACTGAACGTCAGTTCTCGATGCATCTGCAAAATATATTATGAATTTATTTATGTGTGATCGACTTAGCAGTATTTCCTTCTCTAACTAAACGTATTTTAGCACAACTGTAAGCTGTAACAGAAATGTTTCTCGTGACATTATTAACGGATTCGTTATTATACTAACAGATATTCCATTCCTCTTTCGCGGATTTCGCGGATGAGAGGCGACGAAGGTTGTGAATTTCTATTCGTTTAATTTATCACGGATACCGAATCTTTGCCAATGATAATTAGTTTATATAATTATTAGATTTCTTTCCTGTGTTAATATGGGTTTACAAAAATATATTATGCACGCAACAGTATCATCTCTGCTGTTCTTAAAGGAATTATATTTGCATAAGTATCGCATCACTAAAGTGTTATCTGAAGGATGGGACTTTATGGGCAATAAAGGGAATGATTCACTAGTATCTAAAACATTTAAAACCATTGTTCTGGAAATTAGTCATAGTAATCGGTATGGAGTATGATTTTGCACCATAAATAGAAATGCAAGCTCGAGAGGAAGTTACAATTGATATTAGAGATTAAAAATGCCACCACTTTATAAAATCCTGTTGATAAACAGAAAGAAAACTATAGTGATAATTGAAATTGTTGTGAGTTCTTCCTGCTATCCTAGTTTAATGACGTAGATAGATGGTAAGTTTTAAGTAGGTTTGAACCATACAGGATCAATCTTAGGTAGGTATCACGAAATAATTTATACATATATTAGTAGTTCATTGTTAATTATTGAAAAGAAATACATTAACAGGTAATAAACTCACGTTTATCGCAGTTGAGAATCTCCACAGCGCTGGTGGTCGCCAGGCAGGCGACCAGGAAGGCGAGAGCGGCTACAGACTTCATGCTGGCTGGACGGTTCGTGTGCGGGGAGCAGGCAAGTGGGACGGGCAACGGGCAGGCGACTACTGGTGGCGGTAGCGGGGGACTGACTGTACTGGCGGCTGCAGCGGTTCTGGCGGTGGCGGTGGCGGTGGCGGCGGCGGTGGTCGTGGAGGTGGTTGGGGCGACTAGTGTCTCTGCTCGCTACAGGGCCGCCGCTGCCGCCGCCGCCGCCGCCGCCGCCGCCGCCGCCTCCGCCTCCGCCTCCGCCTCCGCCTCCGCCTCCGCCTCCGCCTCCGCCTCCGCCTCCGCCTCCGCCTCAGCCGCTTCTTGCATCTCGAGATCTCTCCTTCTCCACCTGGTTCTCCTCCTCCTCCCATGGCCCCGGGAGTCTTGCGTGTTCGCTTACGACCGGAAGCGGTCTTGAGGAGAGACGTGCTAATCCATTCCTTCGGAGATACCCGGCTGTGCTCGGCTGCGTAATCGTGTGTGTGCAAATGCGTGTACACGTGCTTGAACACGTGCTTGGGCACGTGCACGCGAGTGTTGAAGTCCACAGGTTCGTGTATATTTACAAACGTTTTGCAATGAAGTGGGACGCGTCAGGTTCTCCAGTCTGTTTTGCTAGGATGTACAGAAATACATAAAAACCGGTTGTGTCGATATGGTAAACGTATTTTTATCGTTTTGTTGACGAATATTATTGTTTGCTTATAAAATAAACATGCGTACTGTTATAAAATATAATTTTGAATAATTGAATAGACACATTATAGAAATTGAGAGAAATGTACTAGGAATACGTTAGTAAATATGGATGATTTGTATTTTAATTCTGCGTTTTACCCGCAAAGGGTGTTAGTCCAAAAATGGCAAAAGGTGAGATTTTGTCACAGGTGCGCTTGAAAAACCTAATTAAGCGTGTATCTATAAACGCCAAGTATCAGTCTAAATTGAATTATTCGTTTGTGAAGTTTGGGTATGTGAGAAAAAATATATATGTTGCAGTATAAAGAGGAGTAAGTACATATTTGGCAAATTTTATATTGAACTAAAGGGCTGTTCAATGGCCACTGTACACTGCAAGTAGTGACATTTTGCTGACAGGGATTAAAAAGTCATATATGTATAATAGAAAAAATTTGAAACTCTTTTTTCCTTAAAACTACAACTTTGTACAAAACATTATTTATTCAGCAAACACAGATTAATAATTTAAGAAATGCACACATCAAATTTATTCGAAACTGCATTTTTAAAACTTTTCATTCACACTCCGAACACACACACATTTGCTGAAATTATTGCGAACAAGTGCTAAAACTATTTCAATAAGCATACGTAATGATAGTGCTGATATTTTTTTTAATGTTTAAAATTTATTTATTTTAAAAATAAATTGTCAACATATTATCATTGTATTTTTTTACTTTATATAGTTGAATATACTCTCTGGCAGATTGCAGTTCTTGAAATTTAACTAAAATCTCCCAGCATCTAGGTCTTGAGAAATGAATTTATTTTTAATTAAATTCCGAAGGTCCTTTGATGCATTATATCTCTTGCTTGTTGTTTGAAGTCGAGCATCATTGAATCGCGGGAACAGATGGAAGAAAGACATGTTTGCTGTATTTTGTAACTTGGAAGGCTCGGAGGAATTGTTTCTTATTTTAAAGTTATGGGAGGAAGGAGAAACGACAAACAATTCTCAAATGACTTTACTCCTGTGAACTTCTTCTTACTTGGAAGCCTGGTCAACAGATTTTTGTTGATTGTTGAATTTAAGAGTAATCCCCTCGCATAGTAAATCAGACGTGTTGTACAGTGATCGATTATATGATCCACATTGATCTCAAGAAAAAATATCAATTTAAAGAGTGGAGAGAGTAAATCAGTTCTAAAAGATTCTGAATACTGGAAGGAAATATCGACATCGTAACAAATATTTCGTTGTTTATGAACCTTGCATTTTAACTGGCATCCAAAAACCTTCATTTCTTGCATTAAATAATAAAAATTACGATAAAAAATATCAGATCACATTTCGGGGAAAAAGCAAACTGGTCTACAGTACATTATACATCAAGGGAACGAAATACGACTGTTTAGAACTCAGGTCAAATTGTGCGTGATCTATGAAACGTATTTTCGGGACAATTCAGTGAGTATAGAAAGAACAATTATTTATGATACGAGTGGTGAAAGGGGCAACTTATTTTGTGAGTGGGAAAGGTTGCGGTATGGAGCTGATAAGGCGATGGGAGCAAAATAAAATCACTTTAACAACGTGTCATACATTACTTTTAAATAGCCTCACTCACTTTCATTGTATTTTCATTCATGTAATACAAATCACTTAATTATGAAGTATTAGATGAAGGTCAATAGTAATCGATTCGATGAGACGAAAGTATTTTGTTTTCTTTATTGCATTCAGAGTTTTATTTTAACATTTGAGTGCATCTCTCTTTTAAAACTAGTGGTAGAAACAGAACTTGCTAGGCACGCCCTAAAAGTAACCGCTTTTACGAGAGTTTGCCTATTTTTTTAAAATTCTTCCCGTCAGAAATCTTCTTCTGGCATTTTATAGGATACATACTTCAAGGAACTTCTTTGGACTCATCCTTTAACAAATGCAGGTCTCAGTATAACCCTTTACTATTTTTAAAATATATTATACCTAAGTATTATACCTGAGTATTTGAAAGTGTGGATTTATGTTTATGAGTGAAAGGAGGGTGTTTCTGGAAAAAGGGACCACGTGCTTTCATGACTTATGATGGGCAGAAGAGATTCTCTTGAGTTTAATGCCAACGGATGATGTACGTTTTGACCAAGAATGAATATTGTAGTGCTGAAGCATGTCGGGAGAAGAGAGATTTTTGAGTCTTGTGAGATAAATTCAGAGAGGAGTGGTTAATTGTTATTCTCGATGAATTTTTTATATGAACCAGGGAGCTTTCAAGATTTCCCTTATATATCGGTTTTTGATTGTAATATGGATATGTTGGTCGGTGCTATGTGGCATGCATATGCCATTGACGGTCTTATTGTACTTTTGCAGATGACTAGTGTTTCTGTATTAAAAGAGGCGTTTCTGTTGACGAAATGGTATAAATTATACATTTTTGCTTGTGAAAAAATATTTACAATAAACTTCTTTTCTGCCAAAAATGAGGTTTGAATTCAAACAGTGATTTTATGACAATGTTTTTAAATAGAAGATAATGCATGCGAAGGGCTACCGTGTATACCGTGTATAACTCATTAAAATGAGTTATTTGGGCGACTTTAATAATAATAATAATAATAATAATAATAATAATAATAATAATAATAATAATAATAATACTCGCAGCACGTTATGTACAAGGACCTTTTGATATTTACAATGCGTACGTGTTTTGAAACCAGCTGCAGTTTTCACAATTAAGGCGAATATTCTGTCGTGAAAAATGCGTTGACCCTCGGTATTATTCAGTGCCGTGTCAAAGTGGAAATCATTAAAATACATGTTTTCCTGCTAGTTGATTCTGAAGTCTTGCATCGCTGTGTATCTTATTTTTTCGTCTTTTCTTTCGCACTTATTAATTTTCTTGCTTGGAAGCGCAGAATTTTAGCAGCTTGTTAGCCTTTGCCCTACTTTTCGCTATCATTGTTGTACATCTGCATGGAAGTTCATGCCGTCGTCGCATATGCTGATAAAATCCTTTTTAAGTCCTCTAAAAACAGTATGCGTTTTCCGGATTCATAACTGAGTTTGAGAAAGTTGTTATGTAGTGAATAATATGACCATAACTCTTTTTGGAAAACACGCACATCATTTTGGCCAGAGCCAATTTAAAATATTTTAAATTACACACTCTAGATAGGTCCTGTAACCATGTTATCCCTTCTGCATGCTATAATTAATGCCTATCACTGGAGTAGCTCCAAACTCTTTGGTGCTCGTTACTGAATATTTTCCCATGTCATTGACAAATTAAAAACAAAATTGATACCATTACATGACAAATATTTTTTTGGATTAGATATCGCTGCAGAATTAAATGGCATATTTACTAATGACAAATTATCTGGTTTCTTTAAAAGGCTTTTTACATTTACACGTATAGCAAGATTAATTAAAAGATACATGTAAGTGATTGATCGGTGATTTAGAGTACCTCAACTGATATGATCATTAGTCCTGTAAGTATAGTGCTTGAAGTAAGCTAAGTAATGGCGGTGTTTCTTCCCCGATTGAACGCAAGATCCAGCACCAACATACACATAGGCTTGGGGGTTTCTCCTCTCCAGGTCCCTACCCCAATGGGGCACTGGAGCAGTCAGGGTAAACTTGAAGCTCTCAAATAGTCACCCGACACGTGTGGTACTGTAGTGCATGATAAGGATAAGTAGTGTTTGTGGGTGTGTAAGGGGAGAGAAGGAAAGAAAAAAACACGCGTGTTTCTGGCCCGTTTGTTAGGGAACTGCTCCAGCATTCGACTGGTGTTGATCGAAGAAACTAAGGAAAACTATCCATCAGAGCGGCTGGGCGCTACAATTCTTCTCCAGACATCGGATGCATTCGACCTGGATAAATAGTACCTGGAACCCTAGACTAACATTTGTTCCCCGGAGCCCCTCAGACGCTTGTAAATGCCTGATGAAACGCAGATTAAGTCATTTATTGCACTACGTGGCACAAAAAGAAAACTCTAGACGTGCATTATTACACGTACTTAGAAGTTATTACCTTCGTGAACTCGACGAGCAATGTCATTGATGTACATTTGCTGCTCATATTTTGTAGATCGGAGTGATGTCATTTCAGTTATCTCGCGTTTCAGCAAGTAGTTAAATATTTGATTATAAAGTAACAGAAGTTTGGGGTCCCACACGGAGGCATGTGAAATTCTATGAAAATAGGAAAATCAGCTATTGAGATCTAGTTCAAAAAACAACGGAGAAGCGCGGGCCGTAATGCTGCAGTTAAATAACAAAAATATTTCATACAAAGACATTTTGAGGGAAATTTGTGCGAAATGTTTGGTTGCACAGATAATACAAAATGAATACCGGATGGAAGTTACGTCGGCAGTCGTGATATGCCGTCCTAATTAGTGGATGACCTCGTAACAACAGT